TGAATTAATTTTTCTCATAAAATATTTAACATTTTAATTGTACTGATATACAGTATACATTTTTCATGGTAGTTGATGATTTATAAATTACCGTATTACCTGTATTTTCATTTTTAGTTATTAATGTACACTAGCTATTAATTCCAAAAAATATTTTCAATATTATATTTTAATAATTAATTTATAAATTTATATCAAATTGTCAATTGAATGTCATTTACAGGGAAACTGGATGAAGACTTAGACTCGGCGCGAAATCAACTGATCCAAGACTGGGCATCGCTATCATCACTACTCAAGAGTCAACCACTGGAAAGGATAGCCGATTACTTCGGTGTGAAAGTAGCCATGTATTTCGCATGGGTTGGCTTCTACACCAAGATGTTGGTGCCCGCCTCAGTCATTGGTCTCATATGCTTCATATACGGCGTGTCGACCCTCAGCGCCGACGTACCCACCCGTCAGTTATGCGAAAACGACGACACGTATATGTGCCCCATATGTAGCCATAACTGCAACTACACGCTACTGTCCCAGTCGTGCTCCTACATGAAGGGCTCTTACCTGTTGGACAATTACGGAACTGTAGTGTTCGCCGTGTTTATGAGCCTTTGGGCCACATTTTACTTGGAAATGTGGAAACGATATTCCGCTAAAATCACGTACAAATGGGATTTGTCTGACTTTGATGCTCATGAAGAGTACCCCAGACCTGAATATCTAGTAATTAGCGATTAATTTAGTTATTAATTTATAATCTTATAGTAAACTCTATTAGTATGGTAGTAATTTATAGTGATTATAAAACTAGTTTTAGTTAAACGTATTTTAGATTAGTATTAGAAAAGTGTAAAAATTCCGTAGAGAATATTCTGAATGTTATTAATTATCTTCTATTAATTAGTACTAAAATTGAATACTTTTAGGTTTAGTTCACTAAACCTATAGAGTTTACTATAGATATAGTGAATACAATTGCTAACCATTTCTTAAACCTAACCTATGGTTGACTCGAAGGCCCGTTTGGCGGCGAACCAGAAGTCTAAGCGCAAACTGAATGTCGTGACCCGC